TATATAATGTTATATTATTTTCATAAAACTTATAATTATCTGTTGTTTTTGTGATCGCAATAGTTTGAAAAAAAGGTTTGATCGTTTTTGTTTGCAGTGTTCTCATTAACATGTGTTAAGTCGTAAATGCACAATCTATATTCAATAGCATTTCGGGACAGAAAAAAATGCGCTGTAATGCGTCCTAGGTACGCATGTTTTTAATGAAATTTGGATATTTTGTCTGTAATTTGTTTCAATCTAATTTCTCTTGTGACGACAGGCATGTGTTGGGTAGACAGTTCCATCTTTGCACGGGGTGTCCGAATACCTATCAAGACGGTGCATTATTTTATATTAATTAAAATATTTCTGTTTGTATATATTTTCTGGATAGTAATATACATCTTGTACTGCGAGAGTGGTGTATATCATTCCGCCTTGCTTTAGAAGACTATCAAGCCATGAAAGTTGCGAGATGGCTTGACTGGGTAATGAAAAACTTTATTATAAACGTACCCGAGGATGACAAAATTTTGTCGAAACGTCGTACATTTATCAAAAAGGTTTTCATTGCCCAGTCAAGCCGTCTCACAACTTTTATTTTCTAAAAAGGAGGTTCCTCGTTATCAACTGTCAAGCCATATAATACAACCACAAGACAAAATAAAATGCTATGTGAAAAGTGTGCATACAAGCAAAATAATATGTCTTCGAAAAGTAGATTTTCACTAAAAAAAAATTAATAAAATAACATATAAGCAAATGAACGGATGACGTTATGTTGTATAGTTCTTATACTCTGTCCTGTAGGTGCTACAGGGTTATACTTATAAAGATGAAACCAGGAGCATCTCTTTCTTCACTCCCTCCAGAACCAAGTGCACTTAATCTCTCTACTTACAGCAAAGTCCACAAGGAGGAAGGTCTCGGAGCTTATATCGCTGAAGCATTCACAAGGTGTGTCACAAGTTTATACTAATGGTGAAAAATTATAATCCGTGTGAAATGCATTAAAGCGAAGAATTTGAACTCTTAAAGTTATATTTATCAGAATTAAATTGTTTTTAGAACATGGAAAATGGGAAAATATCAAACTGTGTAACATGACAACGTTGTGTATCAATGAATATATAATATTTTAAAATAAATGAGTGTGAAGTTATTGTAACTATTATTATCAATTATATAATTTACGATAAACTGTGAACACTAAGGCTCACACTACTGTCTTATTTATGTCATTCCAAAATATTTAGTAATTTATGATTTTTCTAAATTTTCCTATAATAAGTGAGCATTTCGTCAGTGAAGTTGTCATAGGAGATGGCCGTCACAGCGTCTGTGATAAATTTTCGGATCACCCCACTAACGCCAATGTACGATCTGAAAGATCAACATTGCAGGGAAAAGAAAAGCTAGATCCTGCAGCTGAACAAGAAAATATTTACGATGGTGAACTCGCTCCCAGTACAAATTACACAGGCTACGTTGAGTTGAAAATTACTGGTCCAAATGGAACGGTATATAAATTTGTAGTTTATTGACAAAATAAGAAAATAATTGCAATGCATATATTAACATTACAGTTTTAGCAATTAACATAAAAACATTTTCGCTAGATAAAGGAACTAAACTAAGGTCACATTATTAATAAGTATTTGTTTCATATTTTTATATTCATTTCAATACTTCGAAGGTTCTGTTTAATATATAGAAACGTTCTTAATCTTAGTAAAAATATTCGCAATAGGTCATATATTGTATTTGTTTTAACACCAAACGGCAGTAACATCGAAAAATAATTTGGTATTGAGTTTTGACGTTTGTTGATAATCCCAAGTGTTTTATTTATGATTTTTAGATTTAGTTCATCGATCTATTTTTTATAATTATTTATAGTCACAATTTATTAATAATTATTCGATCGAATTAAGAGTGCTACATTATATAGTATAAAAGCTTTCTATAACATCGTTAAGCCTAATACACGAACTGAAGTAATATTACCATTAGTAACTAGTACTAGTAATATATAATAGTATACAGATTGATGGTATTATTGTAATAATTTACTCATTATTTAGTAACTAGCATTTTGCACGAATTTTAGTTTAAAATAAACTTGAATTTAAATCATTTCGCCTTAAGGCTTAACATTTAAGTTATGATAGTTTGGTACAACATTGTGTCAAATTGTAAAAAGTGGTACATAGCTCAATATTTGTGCTAATAAATAAAAGTAATATAGTAATAATAACATGGCTTAATTACCTTTGAGGCATTTTTAGTCTCAAAACTCATTTAATCTAGTAAAATTGAATAGCACGATTAACATGATTGTCTTTAGACTAAAATAGATGTCTTTTTGAGACTTGGTTCCCATGTCACTAACTCATGTGAAATACATCATTAAAAAGTTTCAGTTTCACTGATACTTTGCATGAATGTGTGCAATCCTTATACCTCGATTTCGCTCTACCACTAGTATTATTAATAATGCAGTGGAGATTAAAGACTACAAGTTACAACCTGCTTAGACTAATAGTTATTGTCGGAACCTAATACACTTGTGCTCTGCACCTGTCTGCTTTTTGCAAAGCCTTATTTGGTTGGATTGACACATCCTTTCACAGTGTACACTGATTAAAGCAAAAAAAAACTGAATAATTTCATAATATATTTATTATAATTTGTACATTTTTAAGGTAATATTTGTTTTGTTTCTATTAACATGAATATGGACTTTAAAAGCTTAAACTTTTCTCTCTTACATTTAAGTTTAAATTCCAAACGTTTTTATTTCACACACACTAACAAGCCACAAAAATTGCAGAAGAAAACAATTTAAACACTTGAATAAATACATTAATTTTTTATTGCTCCAGAAAAAAACAGGTCCTAATCTTTTAAGTTTCTTTCAAACTAAAGTGTTTTAAACCATGTGTTATACTAGTAGTGTGTAATTAATATATAGATGTTTCCTTTCATCCTATTGTCTTTAGAATACTGCACAGAAAAATCAGAGGCCTTTTTCACATCATTCTTCCAGATAAACTTATAAAACTTCAATACGGTCACCTCTAACTTCTTTTCTCAAAAAATTGCAGCCTATCCCTGTAACTCATTCCATCCTATTAGCCTTTCTCTGAACCCCTTTCAGTAAATTCCTACCCTTTCTTGGATAAGGAGACCAAACTGCACACAGTATTCTAAGTGAGGCCTAGCTAGTAACTTATATAGATATAATTACCTCTTCTGATTTCTAACCACTGTCTATAAATATACCTACCAATTCTATTAGCTTTACTACTAACAAGAAAGTACTGCCTCATTTGCTTGAGTGACGTATCAGCCACATTGCGAAGATTATTTTAATTGGTTATGTTGTTGAGTGGTTTCTCACCTTTGTAAAATTTTTAATGCAAATGTATTACTATACTTAATATAATTAGAAGGTCATTTGCCAAATATTTATCTAACTTATCAATTGATCCAAGTCATTCTGTTGAACCTCAACATCTTCAGTACAGCTGGAAATACCCAAAAGTTTATTAATATTATCTACAAACTATACTAATTGTGCTCCTATAAATATCATTAATGTAAATAAGAAAAAGCAAAGCCCTAAGCTTTAAATGATGACTCATAAAGCTGGGTGTTTAGTCAATTTATTAGCATCAGTTAGTGTCGCATAAAACAACAGATTAATTTTCGTAATGTTTAATTTTTTTTAATGTAAATACATTATCTATAGTTGCATGCAAATTTTTATAATACTGATCATTGTTTCTTTAACTTACAGTAGTTATTCTTAGACTGACATGTACAGTAACTATTTTCAATTATTATTAATAACTGAGATTTATTATTTAATTTTTCCCCTTTCTGTCATTTTCTCATTATTTTACAACCAAAAAATATTTTTAATGGTCAAATGTGAGTCAAAATGCTGCTCACTCCAAATTATTTTCTGTTTAAAGTAATAATTGTTATTTTCATTACTTAAAATTACTGTATATTGTTGCTATCAGTCATTTCTTTTTAGTTATTAAATTATGATTGAAAATATGCAAGATTTAAACAGATAAGACAAAATTTGATTCTAATGAACATGTTAGGTGTCCTTGGGTTGCAGGACTACACCTCTATGTAACCTTTGATTTAAGTGTTGAGCAGCTTATTATTTCTAAAAAATTTACTGAACTTTTCCGAAGCTAGATTTATTGAAGGGTTGATTAGATGCAGAATAAAATGCAGTAGTCAGTATGACTGAGTATTTAAGATGTCAGTAAACAAGAAAAAGAAAACTTAATAAGGATCTTTAGTGCTCCGAGTTTTCTCATTATTATTTAATTTTATGTATTAGAATGTTTTGACTAAAACATGCTGTTTTATACTTATAAATATAATTTTCTATTATATTACTGCTGTTGAACTTCTAGAAAACAATAGTGTTGATCTATTAATTAAGGATTAACTTGTAAATTTTGTTTTTTTAGGTGCTGTCCAAACAAAGTCCTTACTTTAGCTTAGTAGAAACTGGTATGTTTTAGCAGACTTCTTTCAATTCGACATCAATAAATATCTGTATTATCTGAAACTGAACCTAGATGCTTTTTAGAGAAGCATGTGGATAACTGCCAACTAAATTGTGCTTATTAAACAGAATTAATATTTAATGTTCTTGCTAATTCACACCAGAACATTGCTTATTAAACAAAAGTTTAATTTCAGAATAAAGTCCATTGATTATATGCATGTCTGCCACTGATGAATTGTCAATAATATAGATTTTGATTTGCCTAATATTTATTTTGGATATGTTTTTTGGTTTCTACTTTTTAGAAAGACTGTTCAGTGTAGTAAAAAAACTTAGACTACCAATTGAAGCAGATTTAGATAATAGAATAAACACAAACCATTTTAAGAATGTTTTCATTAAACTTGTTTAGTTTACTGTAATTTCAAAATATACCTCTTCTCACACTACAGCTATTATTGGACTGCTAAGGTTTCCTTCCTTTGCTCATCGAAGCATTGGTCTGTTTTTTTCTCACCTGCTCCAGTCTTTTATTCCCCTATCTAATTGCCCTTGGCACTATCTGTCTCGTGACACTCTCCACCTCCATCAATGCACCCTCTATCCTGTTACTGTATATTAGCACCTCATTCAGATAATGTTATCACTTTTTCTCAACAAAGCGTTCAGGAATGGGTTTCTCTGTACTACGTGTTACCTAGTTGATTTTTCTATACAAAAATTTTGTTTGACAAGTCAATATACCATATGAATTCCCATTTTACCGTTTCAGGTCTCTCCTGTCCCACCTCTGATACCTAGTATCATTCAACAGTCATGGAAGGGGGAGTCACTCTTAGTTGAAACTGTCCATGACTTTATTTATAGTAAGATGGAGACATATTTTGTCTAGTGGTGTTTCTCAAGGGTGCTCTGAAGCTACACTCGTGGATAATCCTGGACATTCTGGAGAGAAGTTAGATTCATTTTTTCCTGTGTTTTCCTTTACTAGGTCAGCTTCTCATGAGGCGAATTTGGATCAGCTGCATTTGGAGCCTTTTCTTCATTTGTTCAGTCGAGTGTTTTGGGTCTTTCCCAGTTGCTTTTGAGTCTGCATCTTCCTTGATGGCTGAAAGGTCTGAGGTCGAATACTTAGTTCTTCCTCCATCCCCTGATATTGCAATTCCTGCAGGCAGGTTTACTGCTTGGTTATGGAAAGAATAGCTATGCCACGTTTGTCAGAACAACATAGTTTAGCTGACCACCACTAGATGGATGCATATTTAAACTCTCAAAGAATAGACCTGCTTCTGGAAATGTGGCATTCCAGAATGGAGTCTGTGGTAAACTTGAATATGTCACAATTTTCTAGGATTTGTCTGATTCTAACTATGATTTTGAGATATTTATCATCCCTCCAAATTTTGTTGGAAGCCTCTCAGCAATTGGCTCATCAATTTGATGATGAGTTGGGTCCATTGTTGGCATCTACCTTGGTTCACTTGTCAGCTTCTGCACTTTCTCTAGTCTCTTGGCTGGTATTTTGTTGGGATTTGTTGCATAGAAATGCTTTGTTGAAGTGCGTTTGTCTAACTGCTGCCACCCTCTATGAGTTACGTGAGGCCCTCTTTCTTTGCCCCTTGATTTGTGCATCCGTTCCAGAATTTTTGGAATCATGGATTGATGTCGCCCATCTACATTCATCGCTGTCATCGTTGGCTTCTCGGCTCCTATAGGGGATCATGGTTCTGCCCCTATTTGAGTTTCCCGACACCCAACATCAGCCCCTCAATCCATTGATACTCAGAATAGATTTTGCCCATATCCATGAGGCTCCTCCTCTCGGTTGGAACACCACCAGTGGTGGCAGTGGCTACAGTATGTCTGTTGGGTTTGTGGGAGCTTGGCTGCAAGAATTTCTGGATGTATGGAACACCTTTACAGTGGATCCATGGGTACTACAGATTCCTGCATCAGGATTAGTCATTCAGCTCACATCTTCACCACAAGTATCCCCCCCAACGTGTAGTTTTTTCGCTTCACACAGATTCTTGGATTTAGTAACTTCCGGGGCTATCAAAGAAGTGTTGGTCAAGGGGAAAGTGGTGAGAGTCGACCCAATTCTTCCAGGATTTTATTCCCATCTGTTTGTTGTGCCCAAGAAGAAGGGAGATCAGCATCTTGTCATTGATCTTTCTCATCTCAACCAATTCTCAGATCCTCCCAGGTTCACGATGGAGTCCTTCCTCACTCTGCATTTTTCGCCAGGACTGTGGATGACCATGTTTGCTATCACCGACACCTATCTACACATTCCCATAGCATAGTTGTCCCACCCTGCATTTTATGCACAAGGGTCAGGTGCTGCAGTTAAAGACTCGCCCTTCGGACTAGCATTGGCATAATATATGTTCTGCAGAATCATATGAGCATTTTCTCATCATCTTCATTCCCTAGGTCTGTGCACACACCATTATATGGACAACTGGTTACTGCTGGCACCATCACACCCAGAAGCCACCAAGGCAGGCTTTATTATCAGAGCTAAGAAATCTGTACTCACTATATCACAACATATCGTCCATCTGGGTGTCTTTTTCAACACGTTTCTCAGTCGGGCTCATCTTGGATGTTTTTTTTTCTTTTAGAAATTTGGCCATCACTCGAACCTCTCATTCCTTTGGGAGGAGTGCACATAAGATCCCTTCAGTGGTCACTATGTGTCCAATGCATCATAAACAGCAATCCATTAAATTACCCAGTCTCCTTATTTAGGATCAACATCTTTGATCACAAGTAGTGGTTAGATCGGAACAATACTACTATAGTTGTTCCACTACCGCCACCTCATCTCGATATTCATCTCTTCACGGGTGCCTATCTCAACCGTCAGGAATTCCAGGATGTATGGACAGACTACAAGGCTTCCCTACACATCAATGTTTTAGAATTTGTGGCTGTTAAAAGGGTGATGTCACAAGGTCTGGAATTATGGAGGAGAGAACTTGTCATGCTTCACTCCGACAATTCCAGGTGGTATCTTAAATTTCCCATTAAAGGGCACTCTGTCCAGATTTCTTTGTTTTTGTACATTGGATCTTCTTTATTGGACTCACTCCCATCATATCAGCCTACTAGCTTGCCCTGTTCTGGGGTGATGAATTTGATAGCAGATCAGTTGTCTCGACCCAATCGGATTCTCCCGACTGAATGGATGCTACATTTGGAGGTTTTCCATTGGATTTGCTCTTGTTTCGGAACACTGATGATCAATGCATTGAAACACTCGACTACCGGTATTTTGGTCCCTGGTACTTCACTTTCAGGTATTCGCTATAGATGCATTCAGTCAGGACTGGATGGGATTGCACCTCTGTGCCTTCCCACCAATTTTTCTGTTACACAGAATCCTAGCTATTGTTCAGTCAACCTCTTGTTGTGTTCTGTTGGTAATACCGGATTGGCTGGCTCAACCCTTGTTTCTGCTTCTTCAGTACCTTCAAGCATACCAACCTCTTCCACTTCCTTTTTGGCTGTCTTGGTTGAGGCAGCCACGATCCAACATTGTACACCCTGCTATCCTGAAGCTCAAGTTTCATGCATGGAGGTTATGCAGTCCTTTGCACAGCATTGGGGTTTAACTTCTAAGCTTGCCACATATCTGTCTCAGTTTCTGCGCAGTCCCACAATGGACATTTATCAACAGAAATGGCACACATATTGACATTGGTGTATTATGAGGAGATTGAACCCATTTCGTCCGGTTATGCCAACCATAGCTCGTTTTTTGATCTGGATCTTTAACAAGAGATTTGCATCTTCTACAGTTGCCTTATGTAAGGTGGCCTTATCAACTACCTTTAGATGCTCAAAGAGACTGAAATTATTTGAGTCTCCAGAGCTCTCCAGCCTCCCCAAGTTGTTTCAGGTCCTTTGTCCCAAAAGATCATTTCAGTTACCTAACTAAGATATTAACTCTCTCAGTATTGTCGTGGTCAATTTGACCAATTATGTGACCTTTTAGTACTCGTTTAAAATCTTTATAGATTTAATACTTAAAACTCTCAATATAATGTGTATATCTTCAAGAAATTACAAGTCTTTCACATACAAAAAATCATATTTTTTTAGTGAAGTATTTTTAATAAAATAAAGATTTGTCTATGAATACATTGAGAATTTGTTTTGAATAGTAGATGTGCAAAGTAATTTTCATGTTAAAATTAAAAATACTTTTCCTCCTCTCAAAAATCTCACATTTCCCTTATGTAATCCCTAAAACCACCTAAATGCATTTCAAACATTTTTTTTTTCAGTAAAACGTTACAGTTTACCAGTTATTTTCTCTACCCTATCTCAAAATGGGATTGGTCAATTCGACCAACCTTGTAACCAAAAACATATTGAAATATACCTAAATTCCCCTTTTTTTCCTTTCTAGAATGACTTCAAATTGTAATATGAAACTACATTTGTTTATCCTAAGTAGCTCTAAGTTCATAACTTTATACATCTATTTATAATTAAATTTTGTTTTATTGCCCTTTCAACTGTGTCTAACTACCATTTGTGCCATAAAAAGTTGTAAATCACTTGGAGAAAGTGCAGGTCACGTTACGCTATTGAATTACATTACCCACAAGCGACTATGACTGTCTCGTGTACCATTTTAATTATATTATTACTTATTTTACCTAATCTAGTATTAAAATAACTTAAAAATATCTGTACTTTTAGATTTTAGTTACTCTTGTAACAATAAATAAAGAATAAATATTAAAAACAAGAAATAAAGTACTTATCTAATCTTATTTTTTCTTGCTCTTGATTGTCGATGACATTTAAGCCTAATTTTTATAGTACTAATAGTGATGCACTTAATAATTTTTATTTCATTCAGTAATGCACCAAAGAATATAGACTAATAACATGCAAAAAGAAGAAAAATTTCCTTATCTCTCAAAATTTTTCTGGCTTTTTAACTATGCTACAAGAGCCATTACAAATTAATCCAAGCTAGTCATTAACTTTCCCATGGGAAAATATTTGCACTCTGAATGAAATTGACAATTATCTGTTCAGAAGATAATGTTATACAATACATCATTTGATAGATGAAAACGTTGACTTTCTAGTGGTTTTTGGTAATATATAATGAAATATAAGAGAGAACTATCAACGAATTATGAAAGAGAGGATGTGGCAGGAGGGGTTTGATTTTCTATTTGATAGCTCTGTAACCAAACAAAATTGAAGGCTATAAAAATTATGGTCTGTTTAAGCAATAATGATTTTATAGAAAATAATTTACATTTAATTGCATACTTTTTCGAGGGGGTGGTGGATAAAATAGGGATGATGACATGCTAAGAAAAAATTTGCCGTGTGGGTCACACTAGTGGAAATTCAGGATTTCTTTTAATATTGCCTTGTAGAATTAAGAACTTAAAACTTGTTTACTATTAAAATATGGATTATTAGTTAATAATTTATGCTATTCTAATTGGTATAACAAAATGTAATGTAATAAAATTTTGCATGTAAGACACTAAAAACCTTGTGTCGTGACCAGTAAAGAATACCCAGTGCAATAGGGTTAAGGTGGTATTACATGCTCTGTCTCGACATCCGTTTGAGCCTGTAGCCTTGTGTATCATATATCACCTTTCCCTTAAAATTTATTTTTGTTGCTGCTGGCCTATGGATGTTGCCGGTCGGAGTTGTTTGTGCTGCATGTGTGCACAAGATGCTTTATCGTTCTAGCTACATACTTCTATGTCCAGAGACACTGACAGCCATGGAAGGAGATAACTCCTCTTCACCGAATCATCTGACTGCTATTTTTTAACTCTATGACAAATCTGATCCCGATCATTTGTTATGTCCAGTTAGGTCCCTGAAGTGTTATGTTTCTCACACTAATATATTTAGAGGCAATAGATAACGACTTCTTATTCATTAGGATCCTACAGTTTCCTGGGATTTATCCCCAGTTACTTTGGTGAGGTGGGTATGAAAATTGATCCATATCGTTTATTCTGGACTCTCTTTGAAAGCGAGGAGACTTCTGAGAGTCATGTCTCATCAGATTCGTCACATTTCTATGTCCTTTGCAGCTCCGTTGAATCGCCTACTGAAAAACATTGTGAGGGCTGGTATATATACCTCTTCCCAATACTTTTATCTCACATTATTTGTATGATCTGGCAGTATGTTCCTCTGAGTGTTTTTGACTACCCCTGTAGCTATCTTAACCACATTTGCAAGAATCATAAAGAGGTTGAGTATTTTCATTGCTACTCTTGTCTCTTCTTTACTTTCCAGGGCCCTTACCTCTTTTTCACAGGATCCCACTCTATGGTGAGTGTTGCCCAAGCAGGTATGCTTTTATCAAACCAGTTCCACACTAGCAACCACTAATTCAATATACTTTATCTAGGTTGCAACAGGCTCTGTAGAAATGAGGTGTTACTGGACAATCATGAGTAAAGCATAATGGAATCCTGCCTGTCCCTGCCGATCATTGGTTTGAATAAATTCGAGTCAGTTTGCTTTTAAATGCTTAGGGAACTTGGTTCTCCTATTGCACTGTTTCCAGAGCACTGTTCCTCAGGACTCCCCAATATGCATCACCCCCAAATTCTACTAGTGGAGCTAGGGAGTCCTTACCACACTCAGTTTCCAATCACTAGGGTGGTGGGCAGAGGCTATTCCTCCAGAGTGTTTGAGTGAATTTCCTCCACCCTTGAAGAGAGCAAATTTGGGGGCTCTCCTACCCAAGACCTTTGAGTTTTTTTTTTTTTTTCAGGTGTTGGTAGGAGAGGCACCAGCCTACGTGGGAACCAATTCAGATTTGACACACAGCTATCTGGTTGGGTTAAGCATGGCCCTTCTTTTTAACCAACATTGGTTCAGTACATTGTTCGTGGAAGAGGGTCCATTGTCTCATAATTCCAAATGCAGAGTGGTTCATCCCAGGTCCTTTGTTGAGCACAGTTTGTTCCATATCCTTCCCATAATTTTGGAGACAAGTGGAATTTACCTTGCCCACATGGTTGGGGTGTGAGGATGTGTGTTCATAATTCAAGACCAGATGAGTATGGCATACAGGATCCCATCATTCAGAATTTGGGGTGTTGTCTTTCGTACTTCTTCAGGTTCAGGAGAAGGTTTGTCCACTTCAGTGGTGCTTACCTTCTCATCATGATTTAGGTGGCTTGGAATGCATCACTCTGAGGCTACAGGCTGGGATGCAGTCCAATTACCCTAGCCACCAACATGGGATTTAGGGACCATGGCCCTATAATTCCAACCCCGATCAGTGGAACCTTAGCTATCTGGTTGGGGCCTGGCCAATAGTGATGACAGATCATATAAAATTCCCCCCACAGTACATGAATTAAGTTTCGGGTGAAGAGGATGATCTTCTTATGCCTTCTGTATGGATAATGCCCTCACCAGCCCTCCACCTTATCAATGTGGAATTCTAGCTGTAGTGTGAGAGAAAGTAACTATGTTTTGGAAGTTAACATTTTCTTAAATTGAAAATGTCTTTCCAATAATTCTTTCCTTCTCTCACACTCCCCTGCCCTTCCTCCCCACTAAGAGCTGGTGTTAGAGACTGCAGATTGAGTCAGTCTCAATAAAGTGATATTATCTGAATGAGGTGCTTATATATAGTACCAGGATAGAGTGGAGAGTGTCATGAGACAAATATTGCCAAGGGCAATTAAGTGGGGAATTAAAGACTGGAGCAAGTGACAAAAAATCAGACCAATGCTCAGATAGGCAAAAGAAGGAAACCCTAGCATTTTGAATTTAAGAAAATAGAATACTGATTGTTGTGTATTTATGAAAATAATAATACTAAATCACTGATGTAACAAATATTTTTCTGTAGCAAGAAAATTATTAAACTTATTTCAAGTCGGTAGTCTAAGATTCATGTAGTGCATTCATTCAAACATGATTTTGTCGTGTGTGATTAGAATGATGGTGCTATTTGTTAATTCACTAAGAAATGAGTGGTTGTAATGGAGAATTTTCATAGAAATAATGAAAGGTGTTTGTAAATGTGTTGAATAAATATATGTGAAATGTGATATTACAAGAAAGCTGATTTAGGATAGTAAGTTATACATTATTTTAATGAAACCTAATTACAGTATACAGTAGTTGTTTTTTTTTTTAGTCTCTACCCCAAAGCCAGAATCACCTGAAAGTCTAATGACTATTATCCTAGGGATTATTTGCGGCCTTGTGCTTTTAGTGTTGGTGTTTGTTTTGGTCCAGTGCGTTGTCAGGTATTGTTTTATTTTACAGCTGTTATGTTTCTTTATTAAATAGTATAAGTAAACATTATATATATTTCTGAATATTCAAATTGAATAATTTTACTTATAAAGTGTGAAAATGCTTTTATTATGGAATCCTTTTTCAAAACTATTATTTAAAAAAGTAAATTTGATTTATACATTATTAAATATTTTTTAGTGTAGGCTACCTTGATATATATAACTTATGTGTTCAAGATTATTGTTTAACTCTTTCGAGACAGGTCATGGGTGAAAGGCCATGTCATCTCATTTGTTGACTCGCATTATCAGCCATTTTAACGAACTTGGCTCATTATTTAATTTTTTTTAGACTAAATTACATCTTAGTTACTAAGCATGCTAAATTATAATGGAATTCTGTGGTATTAATGTAGTAATTTATGATTTTGTTTCATATCCTCCGCATGCAATTTTTTTAAAGGCTTAGCAACCTACGTCAAGCAGCAGCTAAGTACAAGAGTCATAACTAGAAGAGATAATTGTTGGCTTTACTTCTGTATTTACTGTTCTATGTTTTAAGAAAAATAAGTTTAAGAGATCATTTCAAAATTGCAATAATTTATATACATATATAATGTATAATAATTGAAATTTGATTGTATGCAAAATACTAGTCTACTAAAACACAGCCAAGACAAGTTACTTTGTACAGACAAAAGGTCAGTTTTATGTTATTTTATATGGTAACATGAGTGCATATGAGCCACGTCATTATAACTTCTCGATTGTTAGCCAGGCATGGCTGAAAGGTCAATATAATAAATATATATAAATGTATAATGTTATGAGATTTAAGCTATTTAGTCT